CCCCGCCCCTCACCTGCAGGCCCCGCCCCCTCAGGTGCTCCAGGGCTCTCTGGACGTTGTGGGCGCGGCGGGAGCTGAGGAACACCTGAGCCCCGGCCACGCCCAGAGCCTCGGCAACGGCCAATCCGATCCTGGAACAGCGCTGACGTCACCGGGGGGGGGCGGGGACACACCTGGGGGGGAGGGGACACACCTGGGGACACCTGAGCTCACCTGGGACACACCTGGGGACACCTGGAGAGGTTTTGGGGACACCTGGGACACACCTGGAGATACCTGGGGACACCTGGGGGGGGAGGGGACACACCTGGGGACACCTGGGGACACCTGGAGGGGTTTTGGGGTCACCTGGACACACCTGGACACACCTGGACACACCTGGGGGGGTCAGGAGGGGATTTGGGGAGGTTTCGGGGGGGTTTGGGGACACCTGGGACACACCTGGGGACACCTGAGCTCACCTGGGGACACACCTGGGGACAGGTGGGACACACCTGGGACACACCTGGGGACACCTGGAGGGGTTTTGGGGTCACCTGGGACACACCTGGGGACACCTGAGCTCACCTGGGGACACACCTGGGGACAGGTGGGACACACCTGAGACACACCTGGGGACACCTGGAGGGGTTTTGGGGTCACCTGGGACACACCTGGGGACACCTGAGCTCACCTGGGGACACACCTGGGGACAGGTGGGACACACCTGAGACACACCTGGGGACACCTGGAGGGGTTTTGGGGTCACCTGGGACACACCTGGGGACACCTGGGGACACCTGGAGGGGTTTGGGACACACCTGAGGTGAACTGGGCTGGATTTTGGGGTGAATTCCGGGGATTTTTGGGGTGAATTTTGTGGATTTTGGGGTGAATTTTGTGGTGAATTTTGTGGATTTTGGGCTGGATTTTGGGGTGAATTTTGTGGATTTTGGGCTGGATTTCGGGGTGAATTTTGTGGATTTTGGGGTGCATTTTGGGGTGAATTTTGTGGATTTTGGAGTGAATTTTGTGGATTTTGGGGTAAATTTCGGGGTGAATTTTGTGGTGAATTTTGTGGATTTTGGGGTGGATTTTGGGGTGAATTTTGTGGATTTTGGAGTGAATTCCGGGGATTTTGGGGTGAATTTCGGGGTGAATTTTGGGGTGAATTTTGTGGATTTTGGGGTGAATTTTGTGGATT